GAGAATGAAGGCATAGCCTCATCATTCTTGACTTCAACACTAGGTGGAAGTTAGTGGTCAGCTTCACGCCCCAGCCGCTTTGTGTCAGGAGAAAGAGCCCCCGGTAACCATGACTGAGCTATTGCAGCTCCAACAGATATGAGTATTATATGTATTCTTCAAATCAGCCTGGTATATAGCGCGCCAGATATTTAAATTTGAAAAAAAAAAGTTTTGAAAATCATTGATGTGTGATTTTCAAGGTGATGGTGGGCTATGCATGATACATGTGCCACTGATGCAGCCCGACAGATTTGCTTCTGCAGGACAATTAAAACTCGCACTCTTGGAAAGAGAATCAGGCAGCAAGGAAGGCACCTGCTTCTGGCTAGCTAATTCACTCACTCACTCACTCACTCACTCGCGGAGCTCCCACCTTCTTGAGAAGCCGCTAATTGTAAAACTATTAAGGAACTTTCCAGATTTTTATGGAACTCGAAGTTTCATTAGCGTGTTCAAAAGAGCCCTCCATCGGTCCCTATCCTAAACCAGATCAGGCCAATTCGTACCATCCCATCCTATCTCTCTAAGATCCAATTTAATATTGTTCACCCACCTACGTCTTTGTCTTCCCAGTGGTCTCTTTCCTTCTGACTTCCCCACAAATATCTTGTATGTATTTATCTTCTCCCCCATTCGTGCTACATGCCCTGTCCATCTGGCCAGTTAATTCCTTGACTTAATATCCGAAAACGAAGATTGAGGCAGTATGTTCCTCCGAAATATCAATGAACTTTTGCCTGACTACACGATGTAACATCCTCAGAGGACAGTAAGTACTTTTCTTGATGAATCTCAGACCAATATTCCGGCGTCTAAATTAGGAATGCAGTTGGACTTGGATGATGGAACAGATGCGGAAATTATTTCGTCTGTTTAAAAAAAAAAAAGATGAACTGAAATTACGCTCAATTTACTCCACAAAGTATGTCGTAATTACGAGTGGGTCGTAAGATTGTCACGTGATGAGACGTGGGCTCAATCCGAGTACTGACCTTTGCGTACCTCGAGGGAACACATTGTTCAAATTACAGTGATGAATAATCCACATATTCTCAGGACTCCCCCAGCGGGCGCTTCTCGGGGCACCTAATGCATCCTATTACAGTACCGTAATTGCTCTCAGAACCTAACCAATCGCAAGCTACTTACATGACATAAGATCTTCCTTGAAAAGTTCATAGTCACTCAGTTGATAAAAAAAAAGTTTCTACTGAACCCGACTAGTTTTTACCGTTTTCACGATTTTCGACCATTGGACACTTTTATGGCCGAAATGAATCCAGTCCAAATCTTCATACCGCCAAATTCATTTTAATTTTAAATTCTTATATAGTTTTCAGCCAGAATAGCGTAGTCGGTATAGCGACTGGCTACGGGCAGGACGACCGAGGGATCGGAGTTCGAGTTCTGGTAGGGTAAAGAATTTGCTCTTCTCCATGTCGTCAAACCCGGGTCTGGGGTCCACCCAACCTCCTATCCAATGGGTACCGAGGGCTCTTTCTCCGAGGTTAAAGCGGCCGGGGCGTGAAGCTGACCACTCACTGCCAGCTAGTGTCGAGGTCAAGAAAACCTGGCCCTAGACATCCACTTCCCTATATGCCTTAATGGCGTAGTGCTTAATTCGTTGAGCGCAAGGACAACTTTAAATTTTACCTTACATTTTGTATGGGCCCACGCCTCCCAAACGGTTTTTCCCATCATGTTTTCCCCCTAAAATAACATATACAGTACTCTTCCCCGTGCATACTACATGACCAATCCATCCTATCCTTCTTTATCAGCATAACAATGTGAGGCGGATCACAAATTATAAATTTCCTCTTTATGCATATTAATATATCTACTTCTTACTTATTTCGTCTTCATCATTCCGACATTTTCAGATTTCTTGTGTGTTTTCTCTTATTTCAAGGAAATATACAGAATATGACGTACGCGAAACGTTTTATGACACGAAACTGAAGTTAATACTTGCAGCCATGATATTACGGCGAGCAGTATGTTTCCCTTCAGACAAGTTCGGAAAACATTCAAAATTTTTGTAAATATCATTAAATTTTGTTACATTGTATAACTAAAACTCTATAATTGAGTCCTATTTCAAGACACTTTCTACAATTCGTGTGATCAGTAGGATCGTGACAGAAATATCGCTCCCAGTTCCTTCAATTGCGTGAATATTTACTCAGTCAATAATTTCCTCACTTTCAGCATGGAGATGCACTGGAACTGTAGGCACCAGTGGCGGCTCGTAGCTAAAATTAGGGGGGTGCTGCTCCAGAAGCGCACAGTTCCATACAAAGATTTGGCTACTGACATTAAACTTAAGGATTATATATTGTATTGTACAAGTATAAAGAAAGAATTAAAGAAAAAAGGACTCATTATATAAATGTTATCGATAATATCAAGTGGAAACTGGGGGTGCTGCAGTTCCGCGGTGCCTATACACGGGCCGCCCCTGGCAGGCACAGTTCGGTACGAACATGGCCTGTCATGTTCTGCTACAGTTCCACAAGAATGTGGACAAGCAGACTCCAGCTTGAAGCTACTGTAGCTGAGTCTGCATTAGTAAGCCATCAGCCGACTCAGAAAAGAAAACACATGTCTTGGCTTCAGTCAGTGCATGTGAGCAGACATAGTTCAGTTACTGAAACTCAATTCCCGGTGTAGGTAGAACTAATTTATTTGCCACCACATCCAGGTCGAATGTGGGACTCACCCAAGCCCTAGCCAGTGCAGCTCTTTTCTCAAGTTTAAAATAGTCCGATCGTGAAAATGACAACTCATCTCCATGTAGATCTGAGGGCAAAGATCTCTGGAACTATACCTCCACGTCCTTTACATACTTTCATGCTTGGGTACAGGAGCGACTACCGGCAGGTACACATTTAGTGAAAGGGCAGCACAGCAATTTTGTCCAAGTCTCTGGCTTATGGGGGCCAAAAATATATTTTTGTTTAATTTAAAAATTATAATATGTAAGCAAGAATATGGAAATTCCGTTTTTTATTGAATTGTTGGCTTATTCTTATTATTGTTATTATTATTTGTTTGTTTACTTGTCTGCATTATTCTTTTATGTTAATGAAATTATCATTATTGTTGTTGTTGTTGTTGTTTGTTTACTTGTCTGCATTAATGCTTTTTTCCTCGAGTGCTTGGCTGTAATTTGTCTTTGACTTTATGTTGTGATTGTCCATAATTTAATTACTTGTATTTACAGTGTGTTGTGTCTGTAATTGGCCTTGCGGCTGTTGACTCGGCACATAAATACCCGTAATAAAGAATTGAATTGAATTATCCTTGGCCTTTCATCGATGTTAATTTGAATTATTTAGATATCAGAAAATCATATTTCTAAATTATATATAAAAAATATTCATACACTCATATGGCTTTCGGCGTAGGAAACGGCCCGACATTCGCGACTGGGCCGAGCTTCAAACTTCCTCTCCCAGACGTAGACTACCGGAATGTAGGATGTGAGGTTCTCACAGCGGTGCTTCTGAAGATTTGTATCTTTTGGGATATAACGCCTTGTAGTCCGTTTAAAGTCTACTGACATTTCGTTTCACCTCCATCTTCAGGGTTGAAAAGTAATCCAGCATTCTTCGTGCTAGTTTTTTCCTCGTCAGCCCTGAAGACGGAGCCGATATGTTCCTCAGAGTTAGAGTTATTTTACGAGTGGCAGTTTACCTCCAATCAGTTCGTCTTGGCGCCAAGCCCCTTGAAGCTCACTAGCAGAGATTTCTATTTTTGCAACTGAACCCTTTCGGTCATAGTCCTTATATAACATCCTCTTTGACGAGAAGATGGGCTTGTCTCATATGAATAGGCCTCGCCTTTGACAAGTGTCCGTATCGCACATATAGCATGTTATTGAAAATTTTTCCTTGTGCGCTATATATACAAGTCTTCTGTCATTCCAGGCTTTGCAGAGCAGATCATGTCTGTCTCACTTACGCTACAACGGCAGCTTAGTCACTTGAACGAAAGTAAGCTTGACAGTCGCCAAGTTTAAGGCCCTTGTATTTTCTATGTCTGGCCTCTACTTGCCCTACGCCGCGGACATGTTCATTCATGCAACGTCAGTTGAATTTCAGCGGAGTACTCAATTGACCTAATCCTTCCAGCCGCACTATGGCCCTGGGGTCGACTCAGCCTCTAACAGAATTTAGTACCAGGAATCTTCCTGAGGGTTATAAGGGCGGCCGGCGCGTAAGGCTGACAAACCTACCACCATCTGTGAGCCGATTGTCTAGAAAATGTGGGGGCCTCGACGTCTCACAACCCTATGGGCCTCCATGGCCTGTTACAGGGATAGCTTTATCTTTGTACACAGTGTTACAACTCAGATGATAGAACTCTACAACTACCTGTATGTCTTTACGTGTCTGTAAGTGGCAGAAGACGTTACATAATGTTGGTTGTTTGAGGAACAGACTTCCCTGACTGACTGCTGGGCATGAATGACGTGCTATTTCAGACTCACGCCCACACCTTAACCGATACCAAACCATGGCCCTAGCTATCTTTAACGTTACATTTGATTTAACATTATAAAGTGCCTTACAGGTGCTGGAATGTTACGGAAATATACTCTTTTACCTACGAACAATTGAATATAAAATTTCACGTTTAATTCTGTAGTAAAATAAACAGTCGGTTGCTTGTCCAAGTTCGCGATGCAGACCTGCACAGCAGGAGAGCGCGAGCGAGTTGAGTCGAGAACGCCCGGCAATCGATTGCGGGGCTAACCGCCGCGCCCCCGCGTTCCCCGCACCTACACGCCACGGGTTCAGGAGCCGCGTTCAAGGACAAGGCCAAAGCACTGCTGAAAATTCCCCGAGCCGGGGCCCGAGCTCGGCCGAGATCACACGAGGCTCGCCTCGCGCATCTCGCTTGCCTACCGTCGTCTAGGTCAGGCGATCATCGCTACTACGGCAGACGTCGACGTCGCACGCATCGTGAACGATACTCCTAATTTCTCCATGATTGTTAAGCTCTCATTGTTGTGTGGTGCAGTTCGGGTGTCGTAAAAAGTGGTGTCTAGTGAAAGTAAAAGTGACACTTCTCCGCGGCCATGTCATACGATTCTAGATGTGTCTGGTGTCCTCATCCGCTGCTGTCATCCTCTCGTTGAACTTTGCAGCTTCCTTGAAAACTAAAGATAGCTGTCAAGGGCGTCGGTATCGTTTCCGTTTTGCTCCTGCAGTAATCATCCTACGGCCCGTGGTACAGCGCTGCAGACGGTACTAGAAGCGTCACTGCTGGATGTTCGAATGTGTGTGAAGGTCAATAGTTTGTTCAACTCGTAATGTTACGTCTTAGCTTGCTGACACATGCTTACGAATTAGAAGACATTACAAGTGACAAAGGTTGTTATCAGTAAACAACTTTCATTGCTGGCAGTGCAACTGGCAGAGAACTATTGCGTTTCGCTGCGGGTATAGCCGCCCCCAACTGCACGCGTAACCGATTTTGTGACAGTTGTGTTTTAATTGTGAGTTTGTGTCGAAAAACACTGGAGACATTCATGACGGTGGATTACGTAGTGGATGTGTCTTGTGCAGTACAAGGGGCTATTAGTTAAAATGTTGCTCTCATTCTTCGTGCAGTAGAATCGAGCTGCCAAGGAAACTCGTGCAGAATATTTTGTGTCAGTTTAAAATAATTTTATTGTAAAATATTCTGTCCAATCTGCGCAAACTCAACGGGATAAAAGTGTAGTGTTGTGCGTCGTAATTTTCTATAGGTAAAAGAGAAAAGCCCGCCCTCCCCCACGAAGCATCGTCGTTAAAGGACACCCTATTATCCAGTAAAACTCCCCTAGCATTGCGGAGGAAGTTTTTAACTACAACCCCTCACACACGCACGCGCATTCCGTCAAACCTCAAACCATTAGCGAGAGAGCTCCCCTTTTCAAGAGCATCAAAACTACAGTTTCAATTTCACTTTCATATTATTTCGCTTCAGAGGTCGACGTGTGTTATATATCTGTGAGTGTCTGTGTGTAAGTGTGGGTTATGATTAGACATCGTGACGAGACAGCTACTTGTCATTTTTGAAATTCTAGGACACCACGGATCTGCTCTCAGTTGCTCAATCAATTTGCAGTAACTCTGGATTCCGGGAAGTGTAAACACTGAGGTCAGGCCTGTTTTCAATGTCAACGTTCTTTGCCGTGTTCTACTGCATATGGCTCCAGTACCTGAAGTCCCTGTCATCACAACAAAACAGCCTGTATTGACACATTGATCGCACTGCCTTTCCGAGACAGATTTTTGGAACATTAACCCCAATTCGTGGCGCTGCCGACGTCGGAATGCAGCCCACGATATCGACTGTATCCACGACGTCCTCCACGACGGACATGCCGGATACCAAAGACTTCCGAATCCCCACTTCAGTTATCGCATCTCAGCCACTCGTCTCCTCTTCGACGTGTTCTCCACCGGGGACGGCGTCGAGTTCATCCACCATGCGTCCTCCTCCGCCACCACCGCCACCTAAAGCTCGTAGCAATGGCGGAGCCAGCGGAAGTGACGTGAAATCGGAAAGAAATCACCACGAGGAGCCGTCTAGTTCCATTCCGGATCTCGGTAAGTCCTCGCTTCAACTCTCATCGCGTGCTGTTCACATTTGTAGTTAGTACTGTGAGTTGTTCCCATTACCTTTCACTTTTTCACTAATTTAGAATGTTCTAGTCTCATTCACGGATTTACATACTGAGCATCTGAGTCACGCACACAGCTTTCGGGGTTTTGCTTATTACCTCAACAGCTGGCAGCACTGTGTATGTGTACAAGGCCGTCCAAGTGGCTGCAGGTACATAATTTCTATTTTTTCCTAGTTACTGTTTACTCCCTGTTACTTCCTGCCATTTAAATGACCCTCAACCAGCAACACAGTGGCATACTGTTTTGTCTGCATTTTACCGTACCGCCGCTGTCTACTCTAATACGTACTATCAGCAATTTATTTTTCCGTAAAATAATGTAGCTCTGCAGGGTACCGGGTTTTGTGCCCGAGAATATACCTTCTTCTCCGTACCTTTTGTGGTGTCCTTGAAATGGGAACACATTGTGATTACTTACTTATTTAAATAGAATCGGACATAACATTTTAAGTACTCCTTTAACATTTCATGTTCTGGCTTCATAAAATATTCAAATCGATTTTAAAGAACTAGTGAATGAGAGTGCGGATTGGACTAATCCGGCCCAATATAGGAGCCGTATCGGGCTCTTAGGAACAGTGCAATGAACCTTCGAATACCACAAACGGTTAGGAATTTCTTGACCAGCTGGGCGACTATGGTTTCTCAAGGAGTATTCTGCTGCAAGAAACTAGTTAACTGATTTTACATCGGAAGCCGAAAAGGAAAGATGTTTTGATAGTAATCAGTCAGTTTAAGAGTAAGAATTGTCAGTCCATTTGTGTTGCTTTAGAGAGAGAGACGAAAATAACCATCTAAAGTTCAGTATCATATTCGAAAGTTTAATAAAAACAACTTTAATACAAACACGACCACATGTTACTGCTCGCTCTTATTAAGAAATGATTCTGATAATCGGCCTTCATACGTGAACGCTGCGAATTAAAGTAAGTTGCCGGCAACGTTCGCCGTGGAGAAAAGAAAACGACCACAATCCAGTTCGAAAGAAAATCGTTTCAATTTGCAACCTAGGAGATTCATTTCATAATTTCATGTTCTTTGATTCAGAGTATTTTAGTAGCTTGTATTTAGCAAGTTCAGGGTTAGGTCCCCGGGCGAATAGTGTTAACGACACGAAAGAAAACATTAATCACCGTCAACTTGACCTCGCTGTCGTCTTAGTAAATCTAACAATAAAAATATGCCCCTGACAGTAGAACGACAGGGACATGGAGGTGACCACTCATCTCCACCCCGTGCCGAGGTTAAACCCAATGGGGCTTTACCCCCACTTTCGTAGACTGAATTATAGAAACGTGTCACCACTCCTTCGCTGTAACATGCTTATATGTTTCATTAACCTCAGTACGACTGCTGTTCGTACAATGCACGTAGCCATTACGAGTATGAAGTTTCAGATTTATTGTCTTCTAAATTGATTTTTGTTTGTACTTCGTAAATGACGCGGGATGGCTCGGCCTGTGTAAAAACGGGTTACTGGCTGGACGACCGGTATTCGATTCCCGGCAGGAGTAAAATTTTTTCCTTTCTTCACAGCCTCCAGATTGGCTCTGGACCCACTCAGCTTCCTATCCAATGCGTACCGGTTGTTCTTTCCTCTAGGGAAATCTGCCGGAGCGTGAAGCTGACCATTGACCTCCGTCTGGTGCAGAGGCCAGGAATGGCTGAGCTACATCTCCGCTTTCCAGATGTCTTCGTAGCGTGTTTAACTATACTTCGTAATTTGAACCGTTAGAACTGTCCAAAATTACTATTCATTTTGCTTTCAAACATCTTGCTAATTCCAATAACTGCAGCGGCAGATGTATCGAGATATGAATGTTCATTTCAGACCATAACCTGGAAGTTTTGTTCATTGAGACTCGTGCATTAATGGTGAAACTGTGACGTTCAGAATTCCAGTTCCTCGCTGAATGCCTCAGGTGGGCTACAGACGTTTCAAGCAAGGTTTCAGTGTACAGTCTTTCTGTAGATGCAGTGTATGGTACTGATTTAGCCTCTAACAGAGACAAACGGCACTTTCTTAGTGTGGGGCAATTCCATTAATTATATACGGCAGCGGTTCTGAAACTTCCGTGTTTCCGCTCTCTCGGAGGATTCCCGGAAATAAATAGAACATAATTTCTTCACTTACATATACAGAACCAATTAAAAAGATACGATTTCCACAGGACTTCATTTTGATGATAGTGAATTAAAAACCTGTATGCTATAAACTCTTGCGTGCATTTGTAAATATGGACCGCCTTTAGCATTGCTATTCAGTTCAGCAATGAATCATATATTTTCTAAAATGTTGTCAAGGTAATAAATAATTAATGAGCTTAACATCAAGGTCCAGGGTCTTACTTGAGAAGTAGATACTCAGCTGTCGGTCTGCCGTTGTACCCTAATCCGAGCCACTTGAATCCAAGCAACACTCCCACAATCTACACCTGTACGATACCTTTTATTATTATATTCCATAAAGTAGTATGTCTCTCACGTGTTCCTAACCCCTCAGGCTTTTCGGCCACTTCTCTTGTCCCTATCCTCGCTACACACAACGAGTATCTTAAAATCATTATTAATAGCAATAAAAATAGTAGGCAGTTTTCTTGATCCCCTTTTTACTTTTTCTTTCATAGACTCAGTTATTTTCTTCGATCCTTTTTGTAATAAAAAAAGCGATCTTTGTCTTCCCTTAGCTCAAGCGGTTAGTCGCTGGCTTCCCACGGCGGCGGCCCGGGTTCGATCCCGGATCTGGTCAACTGGGATTTGTGGTGGACAAAGTGGCGCTGGGGCAGGTTTTCTCCGAATACTTCGGTTTCCCCTGCCAATCTTCATTCCACCAATTGCTCCACAATCACCCTCACCTATCATCTGTGGCTGGTACAATAGGCCAGAAATGGCCGCAGTGCATAGGACTAGCAATAAAAAAATAGAGTGACAGACAATGTTGACACAGAAAGGAACTTCGTTCAAATAATATTTTGTCTTAAGGCTCTGTCCGATAGGGTCGAGGGTGAACAGGCCAATAAATTTACTAAAACATCGTTCCCATTTGAACTATCCATTTCCAAGCAATAAGCACATGAAATTTTCTGTATAGGCCCTATTATCATACGAAGAAGTGCGAGCTAATATCGGTTAAAGTCGTGATAAATCTGGAATTTTAAATTTAGGAATGTTGAATATACCTCAGTTGGTATAGCGGAAGGGTACGGGGTCAATGACTTGGAATCGGTGTTCTGCTCTCGGCAGAGGCAAGAGACTATTCTCATCTTCACGGCAACGGTACCTGCTGTGAGGGGCCATCCAGCGGATACCGGAAGCTCTTTCCCAGTGGTAAAGCGGCAGGATCATGAAGCTAACAATTTACCTTCATTCAGTGCCGAGGTTATGGATAGTAGAACTATACCTCCACTCCCTCTTATATCTTCATGAAGTGGTGCTTAATTAATTAATTAATCAATATTTACTTACCGTCTGTGCAGCTGTACATAACTTTGCATATCTGTCGCGAAGTTGGCGTTCATATTTACAGATTGCTGGCAACAGCCATTGATAATCATACATACCGTGGACTTTTCCACGGGTGCACATCTTACACATCTGTGTACTGTATTCCTATCATTTAAGCACAATGGACCAATACAGGTCTCAGTGCATGGGGAAACCCACCCTCTCCAGTAACTAACTAACTATTCCTATCATTTTACCTAGAATCATTTTAGTCAATCGCATAAAATTGCGTGAGATAAATAAATAAATATTCATGGTTTGTTTAACGATGCTTTCAATAACTCAGATTATGGAACATCGAATTACTGAGTGATTAGACAATAACGCATTGGAGATGATGAAGGAAAATGTTGTAGCTTCCAGCCCGTGATTCGAACCCAGGACTTCAAAAATACACATCAGGAGTACTAATCACTCGACGACGATGCCCGGTTAATCTACATTTTTGTGCTTTGTTTGACGACGCTGGATTGTACAGCATTGCAAAATAGGACGATGGATGAGCCGGAAAGGAGAGACAGGGGCGTAGGCGATGTAATATCTGGATATTTTCCTAGAGGTACTGAGACGAATCACGAAATGAAACTCCTCCCTGAATGCGATACTGCTACGCCACCTCCGTTTGACGATGCTCAATTTATGACTTCATAACCTATGTGGATCTTGGTCGCTTTTTCAGTTTCTTAATCCATACACAGTTGGTAGTTCTCCTTGGACTGGGGATCAGCCCTTCGCAAGGTCGCTACCTACACACATAATAAACTCACACAGACATCCATGCCTCCAGTGGGAGTCGAACCCACAAAATTTCGAGCCGGCAAAGACGGTTCACACCTTAGACCGCGCGGTCATTGTGATCGGCCAGTTAAACAAATACAGTATATAAATAAGGGAAACCAAAGACATGCGTCTAGTTGGGTGCTATTTTTCGAGAAAAGGAATAGTTTTACAAAATAGAGATGAAATTTTTTCTGTAGTGGTCAATATAAATCCAGTTATGTCTACATGGAGTCAGACGTCTAGGGTTGCGGAGGCGTATAGTGACGTGAACCTTGCTTCTGTGATAATATTTCACATTTTTGACGTGCGTAGCCTGAATATAGATGTACCAGCATGCAGCACGGTCAATTGAAATGGCGGTCCTTTATAGACAGCGTGTCACTTCTCTGTAGATTCTGTAGACACTGAAATAAAGCAATAGCAATCGCTACTCGTATTGCGTGGTGTTGTTTCATGTGTGCTTCGTGTCAGTGAGAAGCAATGGTCCCGCAGTGAACAAAACAGTTGTCACGAGGAGCAACAGTGGCCGTTTATGACTGTTTCGTTAGAAATTCCATTATAGCTTCTGCAAAAAACGAAACAAACAGGAAATATTTCCTCCATTAGTCTTTTAAAGGTTTTATCTCAGCTACAGTGCTC